CTTAATCTAGGAGATTTACTTCTTTATTCATCAGCTGGGGTGCGAAGACTTTTTGAACTTCAAGATGTGCACGTGTGAATGTTTTAAAGATAGTTAAGAATAAATGTTAGGCGATCGGACCAAGTTGACTTCGCATAAAGAGAGGAGTCACGTTAAACCTGGCTGTATCTCCTACGTAGTTTGAAGTTCTATACAAGCTCTCTGTGGTTATTAGACTGAGATGGCGCTCTAGGGAGACATTGGGGGGTGAACTTCCGTTGAGGATATAAGTTGTTTGTGTCACATGGGACAAAATGTTCCTGACGTGACATGTCGACTAGTTAATTTTTAACCCATTTTCTACTGCCCATTTCTCTATTGTTATAAGGTCGTTTAGAAGCCCAATTAAATCCTCTTCGCTGCTTGTTGATTCCCAGATCTTCCCACAGATTAATGCCTTTGAGCTAATTTGATCTCACAAGTCAATGTTAAATATTGGGAAGTGGAGTAGACATAAGATGGTCCCCTGTGAAACTCCTAAATTTGAGATTCGCCAGCTTGCATGCAGCCACTTTACACTGACATGAAACTTTATGTTCCAAAGGCAGTTTCTGAGCCAGAATAGAAGTGGATCAATAAAGCTCATCTTTTTAACTGCTTTCATCAAGTTAATTAATATTAAATTAACCGATGATATTTGGTACAAGCAGATTGTGCAGAAGTACCATTCTATAAAACAACTGGATGCGCCTGAGCTGACTTTCCGAAACTTGTCTTGATCTTCATGGAAAATGTTACTCAAGTTCATGTTTTCTCTCATTCGCTTATTTAGCAGCCTTTCCACTACCTTCAACAGTATTGGTAGTAACGCGACTGGATCTTTCCTATTTCCTCTTTCAAATATTGGAGAGAGAGAGAGAGAGTAGCTTGTTTGCATTTATCTCGGAGTTTGTACAACTTGTGTGAATGCCTGAACAGGTCACAAAACCGGTAAACTGAGGGAATCTACAAACTGTTTACTGACGGTTGGGTGATTATTGTGAAATCCAGGTGACTTTTCTTAGGCTACCAGCTGGCAAGAGTTTTGAGTAGTGTTCTGAATTTGTTTGTACCGGGTCTAACTTGTAGTGGATCATTTCTACGAAAAAAACGCAATCAGTGAAATGGAAACATTTATTATTGTACTTCATTGTTACAATAATCGTTTTATTGTACTCCTTTTGTTTAACTGTACTAAAATCTGTTATTCGACAACTCGACGTGTTGCCAACGTTGCTCGGTTACCTTGGTGGATTTATCTGCTTTTGAATCGCTTGTTTTGATATTTTTTCGATATCACGAGACCAGCAATCAATACACCTCGTCCTCCAATCACAGCCTGCCTTTCGATATTTGGCCTCAATGGGATTTCACTTGATTATCTCGCAATTAGTAGTCTCAATTCGCTACAAACTAATCAGTGAAGTTGACGCTAAAGTTCTCAGCCATCTTCAAGTTGGCAAGATCTCCGCCATTTGAACCTTTTAGAACGCAAACATCCTGGTTTGTAGGTTCTCTTTCCATCATGATTCTAAGCGGATATTTTGAGTTTTCCTGCATTTTACCAGCTAGCTTCGTTCAGAAATGCCACTTATCGCTTCAAACCTTGGCATTGCATCTGTTTCTATATGCCAAGTAAGAATTAAGGTTGGAATCTGTCAAATAGGTCTTCCACCTATGCTAGGCTCTCTTGGCCTGTAACAGGCATTAACTTCCCAGCTTGACTAGTGTTCTTTTCTTTCTAGATGTATTATTTGCCTGAGGAAAATTATGTAGGATGGCATTCTGAATGAGGCCTCTTTTATGTCCCTCCTAAGTAGTCCGTTTGTGACCATGTAAAAAATGACTGCGTCATGGTCACTACTTCCTACTAGCGTGTGCACGTGCTCATCCTTAACCAGGAGCTGATCATTTATTAACAAATAATTCAAGTATGAGGGTTTTCCATCCTTACTCCATCTAGTGGCGTTATACGAATTCTCAGTCAGTCCGGAACATTTGATGGCTGAGCCAAGTCGTCTACGGAACCGACTCGTGGTATTTTCGCCCCATTAGCTATGATTTAGAGATGGAATGTTGAAATCTCTAGCTAACAGTATTTGATCGAATCTAAGGATTGGCAGTTTCTGAGTTGTCTCAGTCACCTTATCTATCTAGGCCTCAGCACATGATGGTAGCCAATAAATGTCTGTAATAAAGTATTTTGTTCCATTCACATCGAAACATTATGAGCCTGATTCTGTCACATCAGTTAGTTGAGTGCTGTGGGATGTTAGAGCTTTGAACTAGCTACTAATACATATCTCACCTACTCCAGTTTCTTGTAATCTGTCGCATCGGCAGAGTTTCCCTGATTTCCTACTCCGTAGTCTGCAGTGTTGGAGAAAAGCCATGTTTCAGTTGAGATTATGGTCTTCAGACACACATAAAGACAAAAATTCTTAATTTCTTAGATCTTAACTTACAGTTCTCTTACATTGCTTTGGAGGGACCTAGGTGTTTGTTTCACCACCTCGTGCAACTATGAAGCAACAGTTGTCGGATTTTCAAACAAGTTGTTGACCTGTTCTGCGGTGACCGGCAGCCGCATGGTTTTTAGTTGTACGGAACACTCGATTCGCGAGACCATCATATTCGCATTTTATGCCGTCGGTTGTCAATTGAGCACAACCGAAAATAATGTTTTCTATGCCTATTTATCAACACAGCGATCTGGAAGAGCTCTCATGAAACCTAACGTGATTAAACAGATCGTCCGTCGTAATGAAGCAAGCAGAGACAAAACAAGACGGGATCTGAAGTTCACAAATATCAGAAGCACAGAATTAAAAGTTGTAAGGCATGACGAAAAGAAGGACACAGTAGATAACCGCCACCGTCAAAAATCACTCACACGAGATCGCTTAGAGCTACAACAGTTAAAAACAGAGATCTCATATGCAAGTGTAAAAAATGTAAATAGAAACAGTTGGTTATTAACAATCTATGACGAGAAGAAGAAGAAGAAAGACTGATTTTTCAAATGAATTATTGTGTTTTATTTTCTCTTAGAATAATCCAACTGTTAGTCTAGTTAGTCATGCTGATAAGTATAATATTGGCATGAAATTTTATATTTAATCTTTTAAATTTGATGTACTAAATACTATAGTACTTACTCATACTACGTACTTCCAGTCCTAGTTCTTCCTTGTTTCCTGTCAAATATCTAGATAGTATTGTTATCATTAGGGTTTCGTTAGTTGATGTCGGTCCCACATTGTCATTCACTTGTTCAACGATGTTTAATGAAAATATTTTTAAGGAAATAGTTAGCAACTAAACAGTTTAGAATACAATTAATTATATACTCTTGAATTATACTGGTCACGATTTCTCAATTGAACTCGAAAATTAACTCTTTCAGTTAGTGGAAGGTATGGGATGTAAAGCGGTTCTTCATCACAGGTTACGAAGGCTGGTCGAGAAATATCGTGAATTTATTGGAATCAGATATTTGCATCACTTAGTGCCGGTTCAGTGGTGTAGAGGTTAGACGTTCGCACATGAGATTGAGGATTCTAGCTTCAATATCTGGTAACTAAATCACAGGTGTGAACTACCGAGAGGTCCCATACCAGTATGAAACACGAAACCTACACTACTTGATAACAACAGTTGATCTACCAGCTGGTAGATCTGTAAGTTCGGTACATATAATCCACTAAAACATCGGGATAGCTGTGATATATACTTCAAGTAGCTAGTACTAAGATATATTGCATCCTAACAGAAACATATTGGCTGTTCTCGAATTTATTGTTCATCAAATGAATGAAAGTCTACTTTTTTTAGAGTTACACTGGATCATATGATTATGACAAACCATCATCAATCCATTGTCTGACATTTCACTGTTCATGCACTTTCATACAAATTCCATTGTGTTCCCGCTCTTCCTTTATCGATCTTTCCCCATCTGCTGCTGCCAGACATTACGTTTATACTCGCGTCATATACTACTTATAAGTAGCACGCACCACAGTAGTAGTAGTATAGTATGATTTACAACTATGTAGTTGTTAATAAAACATCTCAATGAATCTATAACAGTGTCAACACAAACTCATATCATTCGCAAAACATTAACAACCAAGAAGTAGTTATTACATGTTTCATCTCGACGGTGCATTATACAGATACAGAAAATATTAAGGGGAGATGAGTGAGACACAATAAACCATGGTTAAACCAGTTAAGTAATAATTGTACAAATTCTAACTTCTATCGAACTTGAGTTTTAAGATTTACATAACTGAACGATGACCACCCAATCAATGTGAAGATATTTTTGAGGTGGATCACCTCACAGATAACTTGAATGGGAGGTAATCTAAAAATCTAGTCATTTATATAACAATAATAAATTGATAGTTATTTCACTTTGGACGCGTTTGATCTGAACACTCGATCTTCCAGTCGCTACAATCCCAGTCAGGTTGGTTGAAAAGCAGAAAGCGAAATAATCTCAAGGTCAGTTTGAAGGTCATGTGCGCGATCAAATTGGAGTGCCATGATAGCGAAGTGTTTGCATCGAACAACTACCGGTGCAAGCTGGAGCATCAACAATTATTCACAAAAACCCAGTATGTGATCGGACTCAAACAGTTATCCGTTAGGATCCGTGGTCTGGCTCTCATATCGTTTATAACAAGCCTAGCTCGAGAAGTACCCTTCTATAGTGTAGAAGGCGACCAGAAAGCAACAATCACTGCCATATATCTAACAGCACCTGAGACCGTTCTATGTTGAAACTAGATAACAGGGAGCAAACAAAACGCTGCATGAAGTCAAACCTGGACACCTGTAGGTCACATCATGCTAAACATCATACCGCTGAGTCCCTACCGAGTTCACATATGTCAACAGTGATTACCTCTCACTTTAGAAAAATTGTTGAACTTCAACAATCAACCATCCATCCAACTATTAACAGAAAAACACAACTAAGGACATAGTTTAATAGCTATTTCTAAAATAACAACATATACATCAAACATTTCTTTGTAAAAATAAAAATAAATAATTAACTAATATTAGTTTATAAAGGAGGTTAAACATCTGATGTGATAAGAATTCCATTTGCGTATTACCATAATACTGACACCGGCCATCATTATCATTGTCATATTATTAAGTTGCTGACGGTTTTCTACACCATATTTGGTGAATTCCATTTGCTGATGTCCAAAAGTGTTTCACAAAATCAATAAGTCAAAAAGGTTGTTTGAAACTGCTCCGTCTACACATCTGAAAAATGACGAAAAACGACTGGACTTTTTCGTGTGCAATTCTGATCTGATGTTCCGATTGACAGTCTGAGAATGTGCATTTTGGGTGGATCCATCAATCGTGAGGTAAACACGGTAACCGAGTAAGTAGTGGAATATTTGTTATTATTGTAGGTGGAAAACTTCATTATCATCGCTGAGTTACTCCAGATAGTCACAGTAGTTCCTTTATTCTCTTGGTTTAGTTTAGCTAAGCAACAAATTCACATATAGAACTAATGAATAGAATTCAACTGCAACAAGGATCGTCGTCGAATTCGAAATGACCACCTCATGGAGGAGTATCAAATTATTGGTAGTCTTTCGAGTTGTCGAATTTTGGAAAAAAAGATTAAGTAAATGCTTTCACAATTTGCGATTTCATTACTGACCGGTGTCAACTTTTAAAAAAAAATTAAATAACAATGAATACAATCTGAAAAATCAAAAGTCGCGCATGACAGTATTAATAGTAGTAGTCAGTAAAGAAGGTCTATGTACATGGGACCAGTATGAAAAACGCATACATGTACAAGCGAGTAGTAGTACAACAGCAATAAAAATCAACTACACGCATATAGATACACCACATTCACTTCTTGGCAACTTTCTTTGAAGTCTTCTTTGCCACTGGCTTCTTAGGCTTCACTGTCTAAAAAATGACAAAAATCAAAACACGTATTCATGAAATAATGTTCATCTGAGGCAGTCGAAAACTATGTAGTAAAACGCTTCGATTCATTCTACTTACTTTTGGTTTACGAGGTGATTTCGCCTTCTTTGGTTTAGCAGCTGATTTTCGTTTGACTGTTTTAGGCTTTGATGTTACTCGTTTACGAGATGTACTTTTAGGTGATTTTCGTTTGACAACTTTTGGCTTCTCGCTGGTTTTTTTCTTTGGAGTGGATTTCGGCTTCGAAGTTTTAGGACGTGAGGATTTCTTCGGCGTGACAGCTTTATCCGCAAGTTTAAATGAACCAGAAGCACCGATTCCTTTAGTGTGAACAAGCTTGCCCGACTTAACACCAGTAACTAACGCACGACGTAGATGACTTCCAGCACGATCATCAACTTTGTAATTGGCCTTTATATATTTAGCAATGGCTTTACGGCTTGAACCACCACGATCCTTAAGCTCCTTTAGGGATTTCTTTACCATATCTCCATATGGAGGATGAATTGACTGTGTTTTCATCGATTTTGCCGACTTCCTAACCACATCGAAAAAAGCAGCAGCATCCGATGGACTCCCGACATTACTATTAGAAACAGACATTTCAAACAACTGCCTAGACAGACAGGCTAGCAACTGCCGATTGATTTAAATCGCAGATCGATCAGACTAGCCGAACCGGCTGAATGGCTGATTATATAATTTATTTTCCTGACCACCACGCAGCATAATTCAATCGTAGTGCGTATGTCACTTCTATCGCACCATATAAGCGTTGCATAACGCGGTAGAGTGGATAAAATATCTTTTAACATCTGAACAAAAGTTCATAAATACGTAAAATAATACAGTTTTAAGGCTTCCATTATACGCTTTCCAGCTATATCAACATCTCAGGCGTAAACTGATAAACCGAGGAGAAAATTAGTGAAGAATCTGATTTTTTCACATTGTTCTTTCGTCGATATCTCTTTGATCATCAATAAATTCTCTCAAAAATAAAAATTCCGCAACTAAATTGTGTATTCTCATAGATACCTTTCCCAATATTACCAAAACTGTAAAGATTGCCCGACGACTGCATAAAATACTAGAAAATTTCAACATATGCTTACAAAAGTTTTATCACGGAGAATTTCAGTCGCGGAAACATATCGTGAATTTTTCACGGAACCTTTTGAGGAAAAACGTTCAAAAGTCAGAATACTATAGTTCATGATCATAGTAATCTGTACACCTAGTCACAAGCTGAAATTCATCCGACAACCTCAACATCTCAAGACTGGAATCTAACCCCGGCTATTATAAGCAGATCTTTAAATGTTGATAGTGAATTCACAGGAAATACACTTTAATTTTACTGATCCTCTTAAATTTTCTCATTCATGGTATAACAAACAAGGTATGTGTTAGATGGTAAAGTGTAAGAAATTGTCGATTATGAAAGGATCCTCATAAGGAGTACAAATAATTAACACTTCTCTGCTCCTGCTGCTGCTGCTGCTGCTGTAAGATTAAAGCATATAATTTCATTGGAATTTCAAGAAGTCGATAAACAATTCACTCTTTTTGATGAAATAAGTTTTTGAACATATTCGAAACAGTCTTCAAGAAGACAGTTCACAGATTATTTTAGCATAATAAATAAATAACTTAGCAACTGAATAGATTATTTATAAGATGTAACAAGTCATAAAGTTTATATCGTACCAATATGTATGTATATGTAAGAAACTTCTCAAACTTATAAACTGAGATGAAATATTTCCATTTAAATGAGTGTGTTGTGAATCAATATCTCTTGAAAAGAACACATTCAACTGTGTTCACATAATTCGTATTTGATTGAGTTGTGTCACAGTTGTCACATATCCTCAAGAACATTCACAGTATTTCTTACACGATACTAAATCATTTCAGTCATTACAAACAATGAGAATTTGCAAACTAGATACAATCAATACTGTAATGGTGTTTGTTTCAAGTTCAAGCTCAGTGTATTCAACCAGCTCTCATAAACAGATGCTGAAATGACTTGGGTGAATTGCTGAGAGACGTCGTAGAAACCTATCGAGTTATTTGCTCACATTTGTCTGACATGTCCTAAGAGTAAGTAGAATTGTAGTAAATTATGCATGTCATCGAACCAACAACCTCTTCAATCCATTCTAATAGACAGTTAAAAAACAGAGATCTCATATGCAAGTGTAAAAATATGTAAATAGAAACAGTTGGTTATTAACAATCTATAACGAGAAGAAGAAGAAAGACTGATTTTTCAAATGAATTATTGTGTTTTATTTTCTCTGAGAATAATCCAACTGTTAGTCTAGTTAGTCATGCTGATAAGTATACCATTGATTGTCTTGCTCAAAATCTTCGAAAATAATTAATGCAGCAGTGTCTTTTTCCTCTTAATTTCAGTTACAGCTGTGTGAAATGTACAAAGTTGGCAGGTTGAAAAGATTTCTACTATATTTCTGCTGTAGAACAAATCATACATGTGTAGTTAATCCACTTTTGTCAAAAGAACGCGATTGGTCTCATAAAAACTTTCTATTTGTGTTGCTGCCATTTTTGCCTCACCGTCTTTGTTATTTCGTCTCACTTTTCTGTCACGATTTCGGTATTCTTTCGATAACACGAAGTCGCCACCCTTCTTCTCTGTGACGGGTTCATAATTGCTGTAGTAGGGATCATAGTCAATCGCGACTCGATCGCCACTGAACATGCGTCACTGCGCCCAACACATTCGTCTCGTGACATGAAACGAATTTTTTTATTGTATTTACATGGATTCTCTTTCTCTGAGAAAAATAACATGTTCACACGCTGTTTTTGAAAACAATAATTTAACTTGAATATTTTTATTTTTGTTGTATGCTCTTTGATTTTGACAGTCCAATAGTAGATTTTTCATTGTTATTTCTGTACAATTATCATCAGTGTCTACTTCAGAACTACTTCTACAGAGAATCAACTTTAATAATGTTACTCTGAATATAATCGATTATGGTAGAGTATTGTTCTCTGAGCTGGATGTTTTGGTTGTGGAACTTACATTGTTCTAATTAGGCGTCTCAGTGTTATCGAGGCTAACAGTATTCATAACGGTACACGAGACAAAAGTTGTCGCAATCAATTCCTTCCTACACCTCCTAATACTTATTTTATTTTTACCACTAACCCTGCCCATGTTCTTTTATCAGCTCGCACCACAAAGATCCGAAAAGCAAAAGAATGAAGGTTTTTCATAGTTACTATTTTGTCAAAAAAAATTACACAGTGTAAACTCAACCACGAGGACAATGCAGTATATCAGTTAAACTGATTTCTCTCTGATTATCACAAGAGGACTTTTGTCCTTTCTTATAAATTGGGATAATCAGTGGTTGAGATCAGTCGGATGGGATTACGTCCAGTTCCCAGATTCTACCTACGATCACAGTCAATCTAACTACTAAAACTAGATCACCATCCTTAAAAATCTCAGCGGTAAGCCTATCAGGGCCTGCTGCTCTACCTGGTTTTAGATTTCCTATAGCTTCCTCAACTTTATAAACAGTGAGAGGACTTACGTCGATTCGCCATTCAGGATGACGGGAGATCATGGGCAACCGAAATGTGGCTGAAGACCAGTTGAACTGGTCCTTAAAATGCTCTGCTCATCGATCCAATTTCCTGGATTGAGAATGAACAACAAGACCATGTTTTTCTGAAATAGTCTCACTGACATTCAGTTTACTAACACCATTCCCCTTCATAAGTCTGAACAGTTGTCTACTGTTACCTGCTTGCTCTTGCTTTCGCTACCCACCACTGTTCGCGATCATTGAGTAGGCTTTGTATCAGCCTGCACATAAGCTGACTCCGGTCCTCATCGAACTCAGAGCCGCACGGGATGAGCATCCATCAGTTCGGTAGATGTTACTGAAATCCACTGCTTCTCCTTAACCTTA